CCAGAGGCAGGACCTGGGGCCAACCGTGCTCCGGCGGGGCACGCGCGCGGCGCTCCTCGAACGGCCTGGGGCCGCGCCAGCCTCTCGGAGAGGAGGGCCATGTTGAGACACCGCCGCAGCTCTCCCGCCCAGGGCCCAAGCCCGCTCGAGATCGGGCCCCTCCCGGGGGTCCATCCCGACCGTGCTCCTGACCCGTGTGTCGGGGGCGCCCACGGGGGGGGCGGGGTGAGGGGCAAGACGGGGGACCCCCAACCCTTTTGGGGGGCGGCCTAAGCGAGGGGGCGATATAGGAGGAGGTGCCGTGGAACCTGGGGAGATGGCATGGCCCCCGCCACGAATTCCCCCCCACCCCTACAGTCAACCCGCATCAGAAGGATGCGCGGTAAGGATGCCAGGGCCCTGGAGGCCCATGTGCACGTTTTTCGAGCGAGGCTGGCCCGCGAAAGCCGCTGAGGATGGGCCGAGGGTGCAAGGATGCAAGGGTACCCTTGGGAAGGTTGCCCATCCATACTACGTGGGTTGACTGTACAGTGGAGGCCAGTCCACAGGAAGCCTTCCACAAGAAGCCCAACCCTGAGACCTCAGGACGTCCATGGACTTTGGGCGTGGGAACGTCGCGCCCTCCATCGCAAAACCATCGAAACCCAAGACACCCGGGGCATCCTGGAGGCAAGCAGGGCGTCTCTTGGCATGGGCCTCCACTGTAGTCACCACCCCACTCTCGTGGCCGCCCCCGCGATTGTCGAGGCGGCTCCAGGCCGCGGCGACGAGGCGCCTCCTCCTGGAGGCCCAGGCGAGGACGCAACTAACACACGCTGGGGAGCGCCGCCACTGCGCCTCGACGGGCCCTCCTCCGAGCTCGTGCTGCCGCGTGGGCCTCCTCCTCTCGCTCCCCCTCCTCCTCCCCATCCTCCCCCTCCTCCTCCTCCTCCTCCTCCTCCTCCTCCTCCTCCTTCGCCTCCTCCTCCTCCCTCCTCCTCCTCCCCCTCCTCCTCCCCCCCTCCTCCTCCTCTCCTCCTCCTCCTCATCCTCCTCCTCCTGCCTCCTCCTCCCTGCCTCCTCATCCTCCTCCTCCTCCTACTCCTCCTCACCCTCCTCCGCCAGACGCCTCCTCCTCCTCCCTCTCCTCCTCCTCCCCTCTCCTACTCCTCCTCCTCCTCCTACTCCCCTCACTCTCCTCCTCCTCACATCCTCATCCTCCTCCCCCTCTCCCCCTCCTCCTCCTCCTCCTCCTCCTCCCCCTCCTCTTCCCGCCTCCTCCTCATCCTCCCCCGCCTCCCCCGAATCCATCAGACAGCCTCCTCCGCCTCCTCCTCCTCCGTCCTCCAGCCTCCTCATCCTCCTCCGCTACGTCCGACGAAACTACTAAGCCTCCCGCCATTATGCCTCACTCAGCCTCCTCCTCCTCCTCCTCCTCCTCCTTCCTCCTCACTGACGGCGCCTCCTCCTCCTCCTCCTCCTCCTCCTCCTCCCGGGGCGCACGGGCCTCGAGCGGGCACGCGCAGGAGTGCCACAGGGCACGGCCCGAGGCGTGCCACCATACGGCAGGCTTGTGCCGTACCCACTTCGGCGCGGCGCTGGTGCCCCGAGCCCGCGGGGAGCGTTCTACTTTGAACGATGGGCCGTTGCCGAAACGTCAGACCGTTCCCCAGACATGCTCGCGTCGTGCAACAAATCAGGGCGGCAAGCGTTTCGCCGTTTTCGGCCCCGGGGGGCCCTCGCCGGGCCCCGGGAGCGTCAAACAACGACTCGGGATGAAAAACCGGCCCCGGGGAAAGGGTCGGGACTTCCGGGGGCGCCGTCCTGGAAAAATCAGGACGTCGCATGTCTTGTTCCGAGAAGCCAGATCGTTCAGCATCCGCCGATTCTGGGTCGTCGGCGGCGTTCCATGCCAACACACGCTGGCGGCGAGGTCGCCGCTGGTCGGCAAGACGCGAACACGCCGCACCCGGGCACGGCGCGCGCCATCCTCGACCAGACAATGGGGAGCGCACGAGGAGGAGGAGGAGGAGGAGGAGGAGGAGGAGGAGGAGGAGGAGGAGGAGGGGGCAGCCTCGGGTCAGAAGCGGTGCGTGTCTGGCCTCGGTGGCGGTCCTGCAGCGAGGCGGCGAGGCGCTGCAGAGGAGCATGCCACAGGAAGGGTCTGCCCCTGGAGGCCCCCTGGTGGCCTCCTCCTCCTCCTCCTCCTCCTCCTCCGCTCCTCCTCTCCTCCTCCTCCGCCTCCTCGCTCCTCCCTCCTCCTCCTCCTCCTCCTCCTCCTCCTCCTCCTCCCCCCCCTCACCCTCGGAATACCCCTGGGGGGCGCCTGGAGGCGCCAGGGGCGGGGGGAGTGGTGGATGGGGGGACAGGGATACGGGGAAACGGGAGAGGGGGTCGGTAGGGGAGCTGGTGTCCTGCACATGCATGATGTCTTTGACGGTGGCGACCTTCCCCTTCCGCAGGTGCACGATCGCACTGAAGAAAGTTTCGAAGGTTATCTCCTCCCGCCGCTCGAACATCAGGCTTTCCAGCGACTTCAGTTCCTCCATATCGGTGCCGCACTGGGCGAGCGTGCGGTGGACGTCGGCATTCTTGATGATGAGCTGAAAGTCCTCGCGCCCGATCAGTCCTTGGTCGTGTATGTAGCAATCCACGATGCTCTCGAGGTGAGCACGCAGATAGTCTACCTGGGCCGTGTCCCTCTCAGAGGCAGCCACCTCCCCCGCGACGGCGCAAAAGGTTCCCATTAGCATGTCCGCCACCGTGCCCACTGGCTCGCGAGGAGGCGCGGTAGAATGCCAAGTGCCGCCAGGGAGGGCTCCTGCGGCCTTCTGAAAATGAGCCCAAGCCGCTGCCGGCAGACCGCTGCGGGCATCGCCCGCCTCTCCCACACCTCCTCGGGCTGCCAGGCGGCTCCCTGGCGCGCTCCAGAGCGCCCAAGAGGCCCAAAGGTGGCTTCCGCTACGGCCCAGGCAAGCTACCAACGCCGCCAGAATGGTCCAAGATGCTTCTGTGACGGCCCACGATGGCTCCAAGACTGCCCAAAGTGGCCTCGGACTGCGCAAGGGGGTCTTAAGACTGAGGGGGCTCCGAGGATGCATCAGGAGGGACCAGCAACAAAGGCCCGGTCAGACCAAAAAGGTTGGCCCGTGAATGGGCGGGGCACAATATGGAAAGACAGTGCAACCAGCAACACGACGGTGCTCATGTAACCGCTGCGCTAGCGGAGGAACAAACGCATACGGACCTTGGATCGTGGCAAAGAAACATGTACACACATGACGACGTTGGTTGGTACAACTGGACCCCCAGTCGTCATCGTCGTCGTTTGTCGTCGTCGTCGTGATCAGAATCCTCATCATGACCGTCGTCGCCATCGTCATCGCCATCGTCATCGTCGTCTTCATCAACGTCGTCATCGTCATCGATATTGTCGTTTATCGTCGTAGTGTCGTCGTCGTCGTGATTCTCATCATCAGGCCAACAGACACAGCACACACCAGCAATGGTTGCTGCGTGTGCTGTGTGAAGTTTGTTGCTGGTGTTTGATGTGTGATTTTTCCTGCTGGTGTGCGCTGTGCGATTGTTCCCAACCATCTCGTGGTGCTGGGCTCGCGTTTTGACGAGACAGCGCCTCGACAACGAAGACGACGCCGTCGTCGTCGTCGTCGTCGTCGAGGCGGGGGGGGGAGGAGAGGAGGAAGAGCGGAGGAGGAGCAACTGGAGGAGGTTTTGGATCCTGGGAGTTTGTTTTGGACCCGTGCTGGGCTGTTGCGGACTTTACCAGCTTGGGAGGACCCCTAGGAAGAATAGGAAAACATGGCATGGGACGCCTGGATGATTTCAATACGCGGTCGCCCGAAGCCACGACCCTTTCCCTGCGACAAATCTTTCATTCCGAGTCGTTGTTTGACGGTCATGGGGCCCAGCGATGACCCCCCGAGGCAGAAAGTAGTGAGATAACTCCATCCTGATGATTGTCAGGACGTTTCATGTCTTGGGTCCGGAAGCGGCCAGAGGGTCCGAGAGCGCTCTCAGCCAGACGGCCCAGGGAGCCGCCAAGAGCCTCCGAGGGGCCCACGAGAGGCTACCAGGGGGCCGAAGGGCCAAAGGTGGCACACGCGACGGCCTCCCGTGCCCCCTGGAGTAGTCAGCAGCCAGAACGACGCGCTGGCACCGGCAAAGGCTTCGGGTTGCGCACGGACGGGCCCCCCAGGCAGTTGGTCCTCAGCAGACCCCCCGAGTATAGGGAAAAAACAAACCTGCCTCGCTTTTGACCACCCTCGCTTCCAAGAGATACCAAACGATGCCAGATTGCAGCCTGTACTGGTCAGGCCGCTTGACGAGGAGGCGCGTGGTATGGCTTGGTTTTGCCTGGAAGCGAAAGCGGAGTAGGTAATTCACGCTCTGAGAGTAGTCCCAGCCGGCCTCATCAGGCTCTCCGAATGGTCCGGACTGGTCTCAAGACCCTGGGATGCTCCGCGCGCCAGCGCTGAGGCATGGAGACCGCCGTGGACGACTACTCGGGGGGCCTGCTGAAGCCAGCGGGGACTGCTCGGGAAGCCGGCTGGTGCCAGGCAGGACTGCCTCGGGGGGCCGTCGGTGCGCCGCCCGAGGCAGTGCCGGCTGGCACGGTGGCAGAGGTGCCGGAGGCAGTTGGATTCAGCAGGTTGAATAGTCCCAGGAATACGAATGCTGAGAACAGGAAGAGGCTCGCCAAATCCCCGTTGTGGATCATCACGTCGAGCAGCTCCCCCGTGTCGTCGAGGAAGATGCCCTTCGTGATGAGCGTCTTCATGGCAGCAGGCACGCTGTCGAAATACTGTGAGGCCACGTCCTCAAGGGGGACGGGGGTGCTGTATGGAGCGAGGCGAACAGGGGCAGATGGGGAGGGTCGCGCAGCGGTGCAAGGCTGCGCCTGGGGGAAGACATGGGACACGGTACCTTGTTGCTGTCTGCCGCAGCTCGGCAAACCTCAGGCTTGAGCTGCTTCTGCTGTGCAGTGATGAGGCCGCGGCTGCCTGGGACGCCTCATCTGGAGCTCTATCGCGTCTGTTCCGAATGCCGCCACTGATGACTCCAAAGAGACCCCGTTCACGTTCAAAGGTTTATGCAGATAATCGCCACCTTTGCCGTCCGATCGTTTGTTCCAGAGCCCCATGATAAACCGGTGCATCCTCCTCGTTCCCCCCTCATCCCCCGTCCTCCCTTCCTGGCTCCTCCGTTTGCCCCCTACGTCCTTCTCCTTCTCCGCATGGCGCAAGCAACAGCGTACTGAAATAGCCACACTGTCTCAAATTCTGGGCCCGCGCGCGACAAATCTACACTACACTTGCCTCTCTTTGGCTCCAATCGAAATCCTGCATGGTCACCCATGGCAAAAATGCCAGCAGTGTGTGTGAGTGTGTGTGTGTGAGTGTGTGTGTGTGTGTTTGTGTGTGTGCGTATTTGTGTGTAAGGGTGCTCGGGCGGGGTTCGACGCGCGCGAGCACTTCGCTGTTTTCCGACCTTCTACGTTCTGTCGCCTCGAGCAGGGCCGCGACGCCGACGGTATGTGTGTGCGTGTGTGTCCTTGGCCTCCTTGTCGGCGACTCTACTTCCTCGTTCCCCCGGCTTTCAGTTCCGTTTGGCTCATCCACTCTCCACGCACCGTCGCTCGTCTACTCACCTTTCCCCCTGCCGTCCATGCCCGGATGGTTATGGCGGCCGGCCGCTGCGTGGCCCTAAGCGGTCACTGAGGGCTCGGCCGATTAGTCGCGCGCGCGCGCTTTCGCTGTTGTCGATCTTCTACGGCTTGACGCTTCGCGGGAGGCCGCGATGCCAAAAGGGTGTGTTTTCAGGCGTGTATGTGTGTTTTTGTGTGTGTGTGTGTTTGTGTGTTTGTGTGTGTTTGTGTGTGTGTGTGTGTGTGTGTGTGTGTGTGTGTGTGCGCAAGGTTGGTCTTGCGCTCTGCTGGGGATCCATCGAACGACAAGCCCCGAGAGGACGAGAGGGCCGAAAAGACAGAGTCGCCATGGCAACAAAGCAGTGACGCCTCGGGGAAGCCGTGCCTTCAGCTGGTCACCTGTGGGGGTTAGATGTGGGAGCCCGTAGAAAGTCGGAGTTGATAAGAGACGGCACGCGAGAGGACACAAGCCCCTTCCGAGGGCCACATTGCCATAGAAGTGTAGAAGGCATGGGCCGCGAACCACACGACACAAGGGTACCCTTGACTTGACAGGGTCGACCTACTGATCAAGCTCGACTGTATTAGGGGCAAAACAAACCTACCTCGCTTTTGACCACCTTCGCTTCCAAGAGATACCAAGCGATGCCAAACCACGGCCTCTACTGGTCAGGCCGCTTGACGAGGAGGTGCGTGGTATGACTTGGTTTTGCCTGGAAGCGAAAGCGGGGTAGGTAATTCACGCTCTGATGTATTCAGTGCCCATTGCAAGAAAGAGCTGGCCCCCTCAGACACGACAGCGCACCCATCCATAGCATTGCCTAGCCCTCTCTCCGAGCCGAGACCCGCTCCGAACTCTGCGGGGGGCCCCAGGTCAAGCGCAGGAATCCTTGCCTCCTCCACCACCACCACCACCACCACCACCTCCTCCTCCTCCTCCTCCTCCTCCTCCTCCTCCTCCTCCTCCTCCTCCTCCTCCTCCTCCTCCTCCTCCTCCTCCTCCTCCTCCTCCTCCTCCTCCTCCTCCTCTTGCTGGAAAGCAAGCCAAAACCTGTGGCTTCTGCTGGTAATGATGACGGTGCCTGATGCCCGTGGGGTCCGCAAGACTTCTGCCGGACCTCCGCAGCGTCCGCAGGCGAGGCTGTGTTCGTGAGCACCGCTCGATGGGGCGGGGCGATCCGACGCAACGACAAAGCATCTATTTACATCTCGCTGCCTGGCCGGTGGTGGCCCAGGGGCGAGGTTCGCCGCCCGGTTGGGAGTCTTAGGCGTGGGAGGTCGGCGAGGCTGGGGGACTCTGGAGTCACTCTGCGTTCCCGAAGGATTTGTCACGCCATTCTCTTCCCTCAATATTTATCCATCTCTCTCTCTCGATATATATATATATACATACATACATACATACATGTGTCATGCCAAGAAATATCCGGCTTGCCTCCAGGGTGCCATGGGTTTTTCTTGGATCTCCATGACTCTGCGACGGAAAGCGTGACGCTCCCACACCCAAAGTCCATGGACGTCCTGGAGTCTCAGGGTTGGGCTTCTTGTGAAAAGTTTCTTGCGGTCGCGCCCCTCCTGTAGACCCCACCTGTCTGCGCCATGTTTCCAAGCCGCAACCATCTGCGTGGTCCCCCGCGGTCCGGAACCGGCCAGGAGCGCCCTGACTCGAAAAACACAAGGGCACGCCAGAAGCTCACGGGGACCCAGACATCCAGCGTCGTGAGCTTCTCGATGCGACATCCCCCGAGGCATGGGCCTTTTCCCCATGGCCAGCTCTTCATCCCGGGTCGTTTCAAAACGGACTGCCTTCCCAGACTCCACGCGCGTACAGCGCAAAATGCGTGCTGCTAGCACGG